CTGTGTAGCTTTTCTACATAGAACTGTGTAGTCAGTTCTCTTTGTAGCTTTTGCTCTTTGCATAAGAGTAATTCTGAGGAACTGAAAGGTACTGATGCCTGTGGGAATATGACTCCTGACTGCCAATCAAGGCAAGTTCAAAGTCAGATCATTGAAGAAAAAAATAACTGAATTTTCCTTCTTTTTCTAAAATAATAAGCTACTTCCCTTTAGGAAAAGATATTAATTTTAATAGCAAATAGTCCAAAAGGACAGATAGAAAGTTAATTTCATCAAGATAAACTGAAAGTATCTGCATGATTTAATCAAGCAAACTCGTTATGTTTTCAAATTAATTTTCTGAGAATTCACATAAATAAAGTCATCATTATTTCTGACCATTTCAAACATAAAATCTAGAAAGCTATGTGCCTGGAAAATACACCCAAGAAAGTGAGTAAATTGTGCTTTTTGGCAATGCAGAGAAAAGAGTGCCAAAACTTGTCTCTCACTATGCTAGCCTCCACTGTTGGTTAAAGGACTGCATTTCTCAGGGGCTGCAGAACTTTCTTCCTACTGGGTTTGGTGCTTGGGAGTCTTCAGATTCCTGGTGCAGCTCCAGCACTGCAAGTTAAAGGCTGCTTGTAGGTGTTTGTTGTTTTCATTGTGTTGAAGCTATAGCTTGACGAGTCCTCAAAAGGCTTAGATTTTACTTCTCACCATCTCACAAATTTGTAGTTTCAGGCAAGTCATTTACTTCCTTTTTACTCACCTGAAAAATGAGTACTGCCTTTGGAAAAACTAAAACACCATAATGTATATGACAGCATTTATCCACCGAGGAGCAGTATGCTAATGTTCTGTATCAGTATTATCTTATGCATCATGCCCTGTTTCCTGATGTCAAATGTTGTCTACTCTCGTGGCACATATGTGACCACACTAATCAGAATGTTTTTTAATCTTAGCTGATGGAGGTCGCAGAATTTTCAGAATCACCTTTAGCTTTATGATCATGCTATCATAAAGCTAAAAAGGAGCTTCTGATTAATGAATCATTATTTAAATTTAAATACTTGGGCAATATATCTCAATAGCAAGCTCAATATTCCTCCCACTGGTGTCTCATTTCTTGGGTGGTGAGTGTCACACTTCCTCAGAAACTCTGTCTGGTGACATTGGTTCCTGATGGCTCAGCAGATAACTTTGTTCCCTTTGGCATCACACAAGCATGTATGGTTGCCAATTTAAAAGCCATGCCTAAATTTTCTCTAAAGAGAACTACACTAGGAAGGCCTTGAGTTAAGGTGTCATGGAGAGCATTTTTAACTCCTGGAAACACCTCTGCCATGTTGTCTCACAGCTGGTACTCTTAGCTCCCTAGCTGACCCCTCTTTCTGGCCTGCTCCACTGCCCCTCCTGGTGTACCGTTCTGTTGTTTTCAGGTTTGGAACATTGTTAAGTTCAATGAGGACATTCCACAGACTTTGCTCTTTTTGTGCCATATGCTCCTGTGGTATGTGTGTTAAAAAGGGCAACCACTTGCGGCCAGCCCTCCTCCAGCTTCCCCTCATGAGCCCCCGCTCCCCACCCACATGGTGCCATTTTGCTTGAAATACTTGTGAATTTTTTGTAGAGCATTGTAGATGAAATGGAAACTAATTATATATATTTATCCCAAAAACTTACTTTTTTCCCACCTGTGGACATACAGTGACTGGGAGGACTAACTACTGTTTCATTTTGGTTAAATACAAGCAATATCCAAAACAGCTCAACAAGACTACTGAGGCTGAGAGTTTTGTCTTATAATGATGTGTTCATAGGATCCAGAATGGTATGGTATATAGAAGATTGTCAGTAAACATTTGTTGAACTCATTGTTATTTATTAATTTTAATTGTGCCTGTTTTGTTCTCCCCTTCCAGCATTGTAGGTTTATGAGCATGTGTCTTTCAGAAACATGGGAGAGGAGCCTTGCCCTCCTGCCCCATCCATATCCTCCCACTGAGCTCCTGCCTCTGCAACCACAAATTTTGTACCTGAGTCAAACTTTCTTCAGCTAAATTGAGAAAAAAACATAAATCTCCAGGGTAAACTTGAAGGGCAGTTTTTGTGAGAATCAAATAAGGTACAGAGAGGTTAAAATACTGATTTTTGTACAATAGATTATGCAGTGCTGAGGAGAGATAAGAGTACGGGAGCTGGGATCATACTTCTGGGTTTGAATTCCTGCTCTGCTCTTTATAACTATATTCCTTTTTGAGAAATTTACAGACTAGGGAATTTTACAGAATTTATGCAGTAGGGAGACTGATATCTACCACATAGAGTTGCTCTGAGTACTAAATAGAATAAAAGCATGTGGAATGTATAGCAGAATGCCTGACACAGGGAGTGTTTTGAAATAAATGGTTATTATTAGTGTTGTTGTCATTACTATGAAACTTCTCAAAACAGGAAGGTAATGCCATGCATTGGGATGTTGGCAGATCCAGGGTCACCACGGCAGGAGAGTGCAGGCACCTCTAGGTCCCTGGTAAATGTTCCCAGCCCATTGGGATGGTGACAGTGGTAGCTCCCACGTAAGCGATGTGGGCTGAGCTTGTTTCTCTGGGAGCAGGGGCTTTTGCTACAATTGATGTAATTTGTAGAGATTTTTGTTGTGGGTGTTTCTCTCTCATGTTCTGAGATCTGATGATAGGATTTGAATTCCTTATAAGTTCTTAAACAATTTCATACATCATTTGTTATAAATACTTTTGCAAAGGTATGAGCAGGTTACCACTCAACATTTTATGATTACTTAAGATGTATATTGTGCTATAATATTATATATCATTCTATTCTTGTTCTTCCAGTATATAAGACTCTGGGCTTCATTTTACTCTTATCTTCTATTCAAAATAAATTAGGTAAATACAACCTTGGACCTTAACCAGAACCTACATTCCCCTTTGCTTCTGGTGGTAACTGATGTCTTCTACCCACATGAGAAAAGAAAGATGAGTTGGGAATATGAAATAAATTAGACATATATTCCAGATTATGTGCATGCTACTAATTATTTCAGCAAACTTTATGAAGTTATGAAGAAACTTTATGAACTTTCCCATTTTATAGTTTGGAAACTTCAACTCAGCATTTTTAATGACCTACCCAAAGTCTATCAGTTGGAAGGAAAAATGACTAGAACCCAGGCCTACCTAATAGTGTAAGGCAGTTCAGGCTAACTTTATAGAAAAAGCAGAGAATATCAGGGAAAAAATGTGAGAGTAGAAGTCAAAATATTGCCTGCTAAAATCTTTGCTAGTAGTAGGGATTTGAGAAGAAAATGTTGAAAGAATAAGAAGTGAGTTCATAAGATGCATTTTTCTAACATAACTATATTTTAAGAAGATATTTGAATAGATAGAATTTCAGTCTTGCTCACTAGAAATATTTGGCTGTCTCAGTAAATGTATTGCTTAGTTGTCTATGCCTTTATAAAACCTATGTTCTGAGCATTGGCCTTGCACATTTAAACACTTTCTAAAGCTTACAGGTCATTAAAAATATTTTAGTAAAAACTGTAAGACAAAGCATAGTTTTAAATAAACTCCTCACTGTCCAGATTAAATCACTGTTTAGTCAACAACATCATAATGAAAAGCAAAAGATGCTGACTCTAGTACCAGTCCTTATAATGCCTTCATCCAAGTACAAACAAATACCTCTCCTAACAAGAAGAGAAGAGAGAAAGGAAAGATCAGAGGCATGGGGGTGTTGAGAGAGAAGTATGATCCTGTGAGTGAGATCATACTTTTGAGTCAGGCCATTGACCACCTTTATCTCACGTATTGCCAGTTAGGTTTTACTAACATTACGTGACAAGAACTGAAACTCAGAAAAGTCTTATACTGAGTTCAGACCCAGGACTAGCTGACTTCACATTAGACCACACTGTTTCCAAGGGGAGCCAAGGCTGCTCTATCATTTCATGGTAAAATAAGTTTCTTATCTGGAAATTTACGTCTTGAATGATACCAACACAGTGACCAATGAATACCATTGATATTGACTTTTATAACCAAAGCAGAAGTGGTCTTCCATAAGATAGATCCTTTTTATATGACCTTAAATAAAAGTCATGACCATAACATTGATGAAGCCTGGCTCCTTGAAGGTTCATGGGGCATGGCTGACTTAATTGTGTTAAAGTCTACAAATCTCAAGTGTGTGGAAAGTAATTAATATATGGATTTCCCTAATATATACTAGCATTTGGCCTCTGAAAACCTGCTGATATAGACTGGAACATTTTATGCCATATAGATCCCCGAGGAAATGTTCTAAGTAAAAGAATTCTCTTAATTTGGTTTTAGTTGAAAATGGAATTGTTCTAAATTTCATGTTGTAATGAAAAGAATAATTTGGGTGTAAAGGCAATCTTTCTTACCTATCTTGAAAATTATTCTCTCCTCAGTTGGAGGGTGAAACAAATTATGTTTTTGAAAACTCATTCAAGAAGGAAGTAAAGAAAAACAGACTTCTTTCACACCTACTGCAGTGTATTACATTTAGTGCCATGACATGTATAAGGGAAGAACTCAGCCTGCTTTGTTTACATAATGCATTGAAAATGAAAAACCAGTGCACAGTAGCAAGCAAAAATCAACAAACTTATGTATCTTAGCCAGTGAAATTAAAAATACCTGTATTATATACAAGTCTGTTGAGAAGATCTATACTGTGTAAACTCATCTATGTATCTACACTGTTTTCTTTACCTGTTAATTTTTCATTTAAATAAATTTTTCACAAAACACTATAATAAAAGCTAGAGTCAGAGATTTTTGCCCATTTTTATAGTATCCCTGAAGTCTAGAACAGTTCTTTTACTAACATTAGACACACAATAAACATGTAAAGAATAAGTGAATAAAAAACAAATTTTGTAATCCAAAGGTTTTCACAAACACATTACCCTCATGGATTTGACATGAAGATGGAGGGAAATGATCTTGTTTCTTGTCTTTTAGATACACTAAGATGAAGACAGCGACCAACATTTATATATTTAACCTGGCTTTGGCAGATGCTTTAGTTACTACCACTATGCCCTTCCAGAGTACAGTCTATCTGATGAATTCCTGGCCTTTCGGGGATGTGCTATGCAAGATAGTAATTTCCATTGACTACTACAACATGTTTACCAGCATATTCACCTTGACTATGATGAGTGTGGACCGATACATCGCTGTGTGCCACCCTATCAAGGCATTGGACTTCCGCACACCCTTGAAGGCAAAGATCATCAATATCTGTATCTGGCTGCTGTCCTCATCTGTTGGCATATCTGCTATTGTCCTGGGAGGAACCAAAGTCAGGGAAGGTAAGGGCAGGCATTTTCATTTCATTTTTTAAAATATAACTTCCAAGGAAACAAAGTTAATTTTGGAGTGATTAGGAGATACATCTGTGGGAAAAGCCAAAAGACAATGGAAATATAAGCCTAAATTCATGAAAGATGAGAAATAAAATGATTTTGTGTTCCTTTCCACATTTAAACAGAAGATGAGATAATGACATTCCCTGAACACAGAACCCAACCTCTCTCCTGTTTCAGAAATGCTAGCAGCATGTGGATTTTTAAAGTATAATTCCATTGTATTCTGGCAATTCTGAGATACACCTCCTCACTCCTCTTGTTTTTTCCCCCAAAAAGCACCCCGAATCATTACAGACATATTGCTATTTACCCTCTTCTCCTTAAGGATTAATCTCCACAACACGATCATAATAGCCACACTTGATTGTAGGCCATTGAAAATCAGGTTCACAGATGGGTGGTAGTACAGATAACTAGACCATTTTGGACGCAATCGTTCTTTTTTACCCCATGCCAACAGGTTACTTGATGTTTTCCCTGTATTTCTAGACAGTGGTTCTCATCCTGGGCTGCACATTGGAACTACCTAGGTATTTTTGAAAATACTGCTGCCTGGTCCCACCCTGTAGGGCCTGGTTTAACTGACCTGAGGCACAGTCTGGATATCAAGATTGTTAAGCTGTCCCAAGGTTAACCCTGACCTGCAGCCAAGGTGAGAACTACTGTTCTAAGAGTTTTGCTTTATCAGTAAAAGATAAAAGAGTAAAAATATATTTGGTCTTAATAGAAACTTGTGGGGAAAATGGAGTAGAACCATTATTTTGGATGTTATTAATGTTATTTACTGCTTTAGCAATTGTCTAGATCCCTCATTGCGTTAGGGAAGCTCATGAGACCTTTGAGTACAGATAACTGACTGTGTACAGCAGGGACTTTCTAGGTCATAGTGGAAGGAAAGCTGCTAAAAGTATAGCTTATCTTGCATGGTACACATTTGTTTAATGGAGCACAATTTTTTTTTCTTCTGAAACTATAAAATGAATTTCCAGCATAACCACTGTGGGTGTTAAGCTATAATACTTGGTAAATTTTAAGAAATGAGAAACTTTATCAGAGAACAGGTTTTTTAAAAAATATGATTAATTGCATACAGGATTTTGTTTCTTCAGAGATAGAACAAATAGAAATAAAATTGGAAGAAAGTCTGAGCCTTAGATATTTATGCATAAATAACTTGGATTTAAGATGAGTTACTGCCTATATGGTATAAAGTTGAGAAAATAAGCTAAAAAATAAAAAAACATGGATGATTTTTCCCAGAGCAAATAAAGAACTGATTTTCATATTTCACATGATACTTGTAGACTTAACCCCTACACTCCTGTAATCATTGTCAGAAAATGACATCCTAGAAGGAATGGTTATCAATTGAGATTTTTGAAAGAGGAAACAAAGATAGATGTGTGTTTTCCTGGTGAGAGTTGCTGTAGATTTACGTGTGCATATGCAATGGAAGAAAAAGTCCACCACTGTAGGCAGAAGATTAACTTGTGCAACAAATAGAGTGGAAAATGGGTGAAAATTAAAGTAGTCTTCTCAGAGGACTCCATTCTTTCTTCATGTCTTTCTTTTTTTATTGTTTTAATCATTGTTCAAGTACAGTTTTCCCCCTTTTACTCCCATTCCAGCCCACTCACCCCTCCCTCCCCACTTGCCTCCCATTACCACAGTCCCTTAGTTCTTGTCCATATGTCCTTTAAATTTGTTCCCCTAAACCCTTCCCATTCTCCCCTGAAATTCCCTCTTCTCTCCCCTCTGGTCACTGTCAGCCTGTCCTCTATTTCATTGTCTTTGGTTATATTTTGCTTGTTTCTTTGTTTTGTTGTTTAGGTTCCTGTTAAAGGTGAGATCACATGGTATTTGTCTTTCACTGCCTGGCTTATTTCGCTTAGCATAATGCTTTCCAGCTCCATCCATGCTGTTGCAAAGGGTAGGGGCTCCTTCTTTCTGCTGCATAGAATTCCAAAGTGTAAATGTACCATAGTTTTTTGATCCATCCATTTACTGATGGGCATCTTGGTTGCTTCCAGCATCTAGCTATTGTAAATTGTGCTGCTATGAACATTGGGATGCATAGGTTCTTTTGAATTGGTGTTTTAGTATTCTTAGGATAGAGTCCCAGCAGTGGAATTGCAGGGTCAAAAGGCAGATCCATTTTTAGTTTTCTGAGGAAGTTCCATGCTGTTTTCCATAGTGGTTGTACCAGTCTGCAGTCCCACCAACAGTGAACTAGGGTCCCCTTTTCTACACAACCTCTCCAACACTTGTTGTTTGTTGCTTTGTTTATGATGGCCATTCTGACTGGTGTAAGGTGGTATCTCCATGTGGTTTTAATTTGCATCTCTCTGATAGCTAATGATATTGAACATCGTTTCATGTGTTTTTGGATCCTTTGTATGTCCTCCTTGAAGAGGTGTCTGTTCAAGTCCTTTGCCCATTTTTTAATTGGGTTGCTTGTCTTCTTAGAGTGGAGTCATGTAAGTTCTTTATATATTTTGGAGATTAAACCCCTGTCTGAGGTATCATTGGAAAATATGTTTTCCCATACAGTTGGTTGTCTTTTTATTTTGATACTATTTTCTTTAGCTGTGCAGAAGCTTTTAATTTTGATGAGGTCCCATTTGTTTATTCTTTCCTTTATGTCCCTTGCTCTAGGGGACATGTCTGTAAAAAATCTCTGTGTGAAATATCTGAGATTTTGCTACCTACATTCTCTTCTAGGACTTTAATGGTGTCACGGTTTATATTTAAGTCTTTTATCCACTTTGAATTTATTTTTGTATAAGGTGTAAGTTGGTGCTCGAGTTTCATTTTTTTTGCACATAGCTGTCCAGTTCTCCCAACACCATTTATTGAAGAGGCTATTTTTACTCCATTTTATGTTGCTGCCTCCTTTTCAAATATTAATTGACCGTAGAAACTTGGGTTTATTTCTGGGCTCTCTGTTCTGTTCCATTAGTCCATGTCCTGTTTTTATGTCAATACCAGGGTGTTTTGATTACAGTGGCCTTGTAGTATAGTTTAGTGTCAGGTATTGTGATCCCTCCTACTTTACTCTTCTTTCTCAAAATTGCAGCAGCTATTTGGGGTCGTTTCTGGTTCCATATAAATATTTGAAGTGTTTGTCTATGTCTATGAAATAAGCCATTGGTACTTTAATAAGTATTGCATTGAATGTGTAAATTGCTTTGGGTAGTATGGACATTTTGATGATGTTAATTCTTCTGATCCATGAACAGGGTATATGTTTCCATTTGTTTGTGTCTTCCTAGATTTCTTTCCTAAGTGTTATGTAGTTTTCTGAATACAGGTATTTTACCTCTTTGGTAGGTTTATTCCTAAGTATTTTATTTTTCTTTTTGCTATTTCAAATGGGATTTTTTTTTTTCGTGATTTCCGCTTCTGCTGTTTCATTGTTGGTGTACAGAAATGCCTTTGATTTCTGGATATTGACTTTGTATCCTGCTGTTTTGCCAAATTCATTTATTAGTTTGAGCAGTTTTTTGGTGGAGTCTATAGGATTTTCTAGGTACACTATCATGTCATCTGCAAACAGTGACAGTTTTGTTTCCTCCTTTCTGATTTAGATGCCTTTTTTTTTCTTGTCTGATTTCTGTGGCTAAAACTTCCAGTACTATATTGAATAGAAGTGGTGAAAGTGGACAGCCTTGTCTTGTTCCTGATCTTAGTGGAAAAGATTTTAATTTTTGCCCATTGAATATAATGTTGGCTGTAGGTCTCTCATACATGGCCTTTATTATGTTGAGGAATGCTCCCTCTATTCCCCCTTTGCTGAGTGTTTTTATCATAAGTGGGTGCTGTGACTTATCAAATGTTTTTTCCGCATCAATTGATATGATCATGTGGTTTTTGTCTTTGCTTTTGTTTATGTGATGTATTACCTTTACTGATTTGCGAATATTGTACCATCCTTGCATCCCTGGAATGAATCCCACTTGGTCATGGTGTATGATCTTTTTAATGTATTGTTGGATGCGATTTACCAGTATTTTGTTGAGGATTTTAGCCTCAATGTTCATCAGTGATATTGGCCTGAAGTTTTCTTTCTTTCTTGTGTCTTTATCTGGTTTTGGAATTAGGATGATGTTGGCCTCATAAAATGAGTTTGGGAGTCTTCCATCATTTTGGATTTTTTTGAATAGTCTGTGAAGGATAGGGGTTACCTCTTCCTTAAATGCTTTGTAGAATTCTCCTGTGAAACCATCTGGCCCAGGGCTTTTGTGTGTTGGGAGTTTTTTGATTAGTGCTTCAATTTCTTTTGCTGTTATTGGTCTGTTCAGGCTTTCTGCTTCTTTTTCATTGAGTTTTGAAAGATTATATTTTTCTAGAAATTTGTCCATTTCACCTAGGTTTTCAAATTTCTTGGCATAGAGTTCTTCATAGTAATTCTTACAATCCTTTGCATTTCTGTGGTATCAGTTGTAATCTCTCCTCTTTCATTTCTGATTGTGTTTATTTGGGTCTTCTCTCTTTTTTTTCTTGATGAGTCTGCTTAAAGGTTTGTCGATTTTTTTTATCTTTTCAAAGAACCAGCTCTTAGATTCATTGATCCTTAGAATTGTGCTTTTAGTCTCTATGTCATTTAATTCTACTCGGATCTTGGTTATTTCCTTCCTTGTGCTTGCTCTGGGCTGTCTTTGTTGTTGTTCCTTGAGTTCTTGTAGATGCAGGGTTAGGTTGTTTGTTTGAAATATTTCTATCTTTTTTAGGTATGCCTGTATCACTATGAACTTCCCTCTCAGGACTGCCTTGGCTGTGTCCCATAAGTTTTGGGTTGTTGTGAGTTCATTTTCATTTGTTTCCAGAAACCTTTTGATTTCTTCCCTAATGTCATTCTTGACCCATTCATTGTTTAATAGCATGCTATTTAATCTCCATGATTTTGAGTGTTTTGGGTTTTTTCCCTTGGGGTTGGTTTCTAG